ATTATTGAAATGGATCAGATCATTTCTTCATGGTCGTAAGTTTTACGTCAGAGTGGGCGATTCGGTATGCTCTGAACGGGTGGTTGTGTATGGTGTCCCGCAGGGTTCTGTATTGGGACCACTGCTTTTCATCCTGTACATATCGGACTTACCTCATTTAATTTCGTCAAATCATGCTTTCTATGCTGATGACTGTAAACTGTATGCTAATCCTATTCTAAATTATCGAGAACTGCAAACGGATTTAAATACTGTCTACCGCTGGTGCTTAGACTGGTTGATTCCGTTGAATAACGGCAAGTGTAAAGTATTACACTTGGGTACCAACAACCCCAAACACATTTACGTGATAGATAATGAAGCAGTAATGATAGTCAAAATGATTTAGGTGTTATAATAACATCTGATCTATCTTGGTCCAATCAAGTTGCTTACGTTCACGAAGAGCAAATTCTGCATCTTATATGTTAATCAATGCATTTAGACACCCTTCACGAGATACATTTCTGAAGTTGTTTAAGTCGTATATACGGCCAATTTTGGAATATACCAATGTTGTGTGGTCACCAATTTTACAGCGGGATAAGGAACTGCTGAAAAAAGTTCAAAGAAGGGCTACAAAAAAGGTATTGGGTAATAGAACACAAAATTATCAAACCCGATTAAGATGTCTAAATCTTACATCATTGGAACAACGACGGAAGAGGGGAGACTTGATATTGGTTTACAAAATTTTTCACAATCCAAATATGTGCCACCTGAAAACCCTTTTTGAATTGAATACTAACCAATTGCGAGGGCACGTTTACAAATTAAAAAAGCAATCATGTAGAACTATTGTTCGAAGGTTTTTCTTTCCTAACAGGATGTTTGATGAATGGAATAATTTGCATAGTGACATCGCAAATGTGACTGTTAATGTGTTTAAGAACAAATTGGATCAGTGACTCTACTTAGGGAAATCTATTTGAAGGTGCATAATAGGTCTCTGACCTCTGCTCCATTTTTTCTAATAATATAATTAATAATAATAATAATAATAATAATAATTGCAGTCAATTCATCGCTACTGGGCATAAATGTAATAGAAAAGGAGGTGCCTAGAGGGCTATCAAGGTAGGAGAAGTAGGCCCCTGAATCGCAAGTAACAACAAGGGTTGATACAGAAATTGATTTGGAGTATTGCATAATAGAAAAAGATGACTACTATTGGACTGAATATATGGAAACGCATTTTGAAAAATTTTATTTTAATGCAATGCTTCTGGAAATAACTGATTCTGGCTGGAGTCGAAATTAACCGCTTCGTGATATTTTAAAAAAGTTCTATAGTTTCTGAGTCTTCTAATCTTCTAACGGTTTTCGCCCAGATAATTTCTTTCTCAATAAAATTTCTATTATGTATTACAACTTCATTGTTGATTAAGGTGTAAAAAACCTATTTTTATATAGTTATGTATATTACTACATCGTCTAAATATTTCTTATACTCGACACATATAGCTTCAGTTGTTTTTTCCTCAATTTATGGTTTATTTGTTGTTCGTTGTTTCTTTGTTCTTTCTTCAAAATACTTTTTATATTGGGTTACTAATTTCTAGTTGTTGCTACATACTGTGCAAAAAAGAGTACTTGTTATGTTCAAATAAAATGGTTCTCTACCCATTCTTTAAATTGTATAACTATACCTTTATGGGTGCAGCAGTAATTGTTTAGCTGTTGTGAGTTATTCAATTTGTGACATTTGTTACAACACTAATATTTTGATTTTTATTTCCATGTTACTTCTAATATCGGTCCTCAATAACTCCTCATTCGGGGTCAAGTAAATATAAACGTAAATTATTATCAGTAATAAAAAATTGGTCTAAAGAGTTTAGACAGTACTTCCTTCGCTGTCGGAAACTTGACGACTGCATACCTATTGTGTTTTTTTTCTCATTACATTTTTGTAGTGGGAATTTAAAAAAAAATTGTGATGACGTCATCAACATTTTTGCAAGGACACGTATATCAGTTGGGATAGATGTAGTGTAATACTAAGAATAAAATTATTGTATTCCCAAATTTTCGGGAAAATGAATTGGGTCGTTTTGAATATTGGTTTCTTATATCAATAAAATAACGAAACAATTTACTCACGTATACGGCGCCGGTGTGTAATATCTAGAGAGCGGATTTCTGTCGGGCTAGGCAAGGCCAAACTCGGTACGGCTCGTACGGGATGCGAATTCATTGCGGTTGCGGACTGCACTTCGTTTATTTGAGATTAGAATAACGCTGTTTCGTTGCACTCTGCTGTTAATTCCCGTTCTCATTTACTTAGCCGTTTGATTAATAAATCGTTAATTATATTTATGGAATTAGTACTAATTAAATTCAGTGATTATCTATCACCCGCTACTGAGTCCCGGCGATCCAGCGCGTCACCACCTATAATAGTGACGTAGCCCGACAAAAATCCGCTGTCTAGTAATATGAAAGGCAACTGAAAATCGTTTATGTATAAACATTCTTAATTTAAGATGACAAGCGTAACAGCATACGTGAGAGTCAAACAGAGAAACTGTAAACAAAACGACCATCGGTTTTATTGCTTCGACTTCCGCTTATTATATAAAACGTTGGGTTTTATTTTAATTCTTGACGGTGAAATTCACAATTGGTTGATTATAAACATGTCTATTCCACATTCGCGGAACCTAGACAGCGCACACGTCTGTAATGTTAAAGTCGATGTAAATAAGCGTGCTACCCTTATGTTTCAACCGAGTTTTTACTTTAAAAAATTTTGTGTCTACCAAATTGGGTTGGTCCAATGTAAGACTAATAATAAGTGTTGCCTTTAATTTAATCAATAAAATAAATTGACTTCATTAATTTTTTTGAGCCACCTCTTAAGAAAATCTAAACAATATGAATGAAGTGATAAATCACAAGTACAGACTCATCATATTTTTACGCTTTAGATAGGATTTATTCGGCAAACTTTCGAGCTGACGTCATCAAATTTTTTGAGGGGGGATTAGCAAATACATTTTGATAACAAAGTTAACGTGCTTATGATAACTTTAATACATCTCCTATGTTTCAAAGCATTCGGTTTTGTTGTTCCTGATTAACTCACTCATAAATTCACGCATTCATTAATTTTTTGAGTCATTCTGTATATGCAAATCGAAAAAATTTGAATGGAATGATAAATCACAAGTACAGACTCATCATATTTTGTACATTTTAGATAGGATTTATTCAGCAAAATTTTGGGGTGACGTCATCAATTTTTTAGGGGGGATGAGCAAATATATTTTGACTAAAGATTTATGATGCTCTTTAGAGCCTTAAAACATCTGCAACATTTTAAAACATTCGGGTTAGCAGATTCAAAATTAAATTGCAAAATGTTGTTTTATGATTTTGATTTTTTTTCCAAAAATCTGGACGTTTCGGGTAAAAACTGAATTCGGAGTCGTAAAGTACATGTGTAGGACTATCTTATTTTATACGATTTAAGACCCATTTACTATGTACAATTTTGAAGTGACGTCATCGCATTAGTGGTGGGATGATTAGAAAAATTTTGGTTAGCGTTTTACCATCTACATGATATTCCTAATATAAGTGCAAAATTTCACAACAATCGGTCCAGTACTTTCGGAGATTATCTGTCTAATAAAAATCCGGGACGGCAGACGGAGAGACGGACGGACAGACGGACGGACAGACGGACGGACAGACAGACGGAAATGGGCGACCTATTTTTCCGAATTCTAGGAGTCATGAAAGATCGAGAAAACGTAAAAGTAGAGAGTCGGCCGACGGACTCGATTACAATACTTCCTTTGCTTACGCTCGGGAAGTAAAAATTGGTGTTGATATCTACATCAAGATTTTGTCTTCGATGAACAAAATGACCTTTATCTATCTGCGGACGAACCAGGTATTTGTGGTTCCCAGCTCACTCACTATCCGATTAGAGGAAGACTATAGGAACACTCTGAGCCGGGTTGTAAATCATTTTGGGTCTGTATAATGAGTTGCCTGATTCGTGTAAACTCTTGCAAGTTGTTTCTCCTGTTTTTTTGTTATAATTCAAAATATGATAAATCTATGGCCAAATGAAAATTGTAGCTCCATTCGTAATAAAGTCCTCTACAACGTGGCCTAATTTTCAGATCAAAATACTTCAAAACCTTCATGCAAAATCCGATATCAAATTTTAATGTTTTACTTTTTTTTAAGTATGCTTCAACGTAACGGTGAAAGTTAAAAGTTGGTCATGTCTAACGTTACCTCAATGGCGTGCCAACTTTCAACGGCAACGTTAACGGATGGTATAAACGACGCATACCTTCGCTGCATATTTGTCTTACAATAGCAACGTCAGCGACAAGTTTATAAATCAACCTTTAGGCTGAACAACACTAAATGTTACGAGAATATCATTCATTGCTCTGTAACGATGGTCTAGTTCTATGTAAAATCTATCAATGACATTATTTTTACTTCTCAAGCGTAAGCGAAGGAAGTATTTTAATCAAGTCTGTCAGCCTACTCTCTACTTTTACATTTTCTCGACCTTTCATGACCCCTACAGTACGAAGAAATAGATCTCCCGTTTCAGTCTGTCTGCCGTTAAGCAAAATTTGTCTAATTATCCCCACCAACAACGTGATGACATTTTCTAAAAAGTTTGTGCAATAAACATTACTTAAATTTCATCAAATATGTATAATACTCTCACACTTGTATTTTAATTGTTATTGTTTAAGCATCTTTCTTTTTGCCACATACGAATGATGTTATCAAAGAATAAAATTTGTGTTTTTTGCAAATAATAGATCTAATAAACTTATTGCTTTTTCTAGAACAAATAAGAGATAAGACGCTAAAAAATTAAAAACTGATATTAGCCAGTAATTAATTCTTTAACAACAGAATTTTTTATAACTTAGAACGGCAAAAGCGACGTTTGTTGGCAGCGAATTGACATGTACTCAAAATGAGAAACTTTCTTTATTTTAACAATTCTTCCATCATCACACATTATAATGCACTTTGTACAAGCAATAATTACGGATTATTTAATTTCCATATGTGTTAAAAAATAGTCAATTTATCGTTAAAAATATTCGCGAAATTGTTAGCATCCATTATCCAAAACCTACGCACTTGTAATTGCTGAACAGAATCTTTGCTCAATTGCTTTCAGAATTTTAAAGTAGATTGCCTGTAAATTTTCATTACTGATGTTTTGCGTGATGTTTTTTCGTATATGATTGACAGATTCATCCACAGAACTTTGGTAGATATCTTTCAGATTTAGTTCTTCAAATAAGTTTAAAACTGTTGTTATTGCTTCAGGATCTGTAGAACCATAACACTGTTTCATCGTTTCTATCTGAGAATGATTTCCTTTTTTCATGGCCATTACAGCCAGCCATGTACATTTACCTTCCTGAATATCTGTTCCCTTTTTACCACTTTTCTCTGGGTTACCATAACAGTCTATGAAGTCATCCTGACAAATATAACTGTCTTTAGAAAGAATTGAAGAAATATTTTCATATATATTACATGTGGCATAGCTTCGCAAACTGTCTGTACAACTTACCTGCACTTGATACAGAAATGCCAAATCTTTAGACAAATCTTCCGACTTTCTGTGGAGTTCCAGGTCGTATATGTTTGCCATATACATGGCTAAAGCTATTGGTAAATAAAAAGTGTAAAACCCAGTTTTGTGTTCAGCAATACGTTTAAACCTGTCCATTGTGAAAAGTTGTAGTTGGGGTTTACCATCTTTGACAGACAGGCAATCCGCTACTTCTCCCAAACAAGTTCTCATAGCAATGTCATGAAGCAACAACATCGAGGGTACATAACAGTGATGATTTCTAAAATATTTTCTGAGTAATAAGTAGGGTACTTGTTCAAGAAGCAGTGCATCATTAACTGCTTTGAATCCGATATTTTTTTTTCTGTGCCAGCAGAGAGAGCCCCGTTGCATTACCCCTTCGTCAATGATGTCGTCAGCTATAAGAGAAGCTGTCTGCATCTAAAAAGAGAACATTTCAATGTTATTACTTCAGTCTGTATTGATGTACACAGATTTTAGGCTAAAGGAACTGCTTTCATTTTTTAAGATACGTTAACGAAGTTTGGATATAAATAACTTTTGAGTGAAATAGAAGAATATGAGCATCATTTCTTTTCGGCTAAACTATCAAAAATTTATCTTACTGTGTTCTTACATAAAAACATCACCTGACGCGTAACAAATGGACCAAAAGTCCTATTTAGGAGGAAGCAATATGCAATAAAACCTGATTTGAATTTTGATTTTTGATTTCTTCGTATAAATCATTAATAAAATAATATTATACTAACTACACTAGTTGGGGCAGAATGTGGCGTCGAATGCGATCCATTTTTGTTTAAACAATCGCCCTCTTATAAAATTACAATAAAAAAAGCTAAGACTAAAAGTTAATACGTACTTCAAGCACAGTTATGCTATGCTCTCTCCGAATCCGCGTGCTTCCGATTCTGGTTTTTCTTCTCCGCATTCTCAAATCTCAACCCCAAGCGGAGGTTTAAATCCCGTTACGAGTGCGAATGCCCACGTTATTAAACGTTATTGTCTTATTTTGATTGTAAGTGATCAAAACTTTAACGGTCCAAAATCCGGATCGCAATTTAAATCAAGGATTTAGGAACTTTTTGTTTCATTCTCCACGTAAAACTTAGCGAAGGCAAAAAACAACGAAGAATCTTCGTTGTTCCTGGTCCTAATAACCAAATAAACTCGACTTACCAATTCCAAAGCCCAAGCCATGAGCATTGCTAATTTGCGATTTCCCGGTGTAAGATTCTCTGGTTTTTCAAGAACTTCGTAAGCTATGAATGTAATGAAACCCCTCAATTTTTTACCAAAGGGGGCGAGATAATGAAGAAGTTCTTCGCAGCGTGTATTTGCTTCAGCAAATTGTGGGTTTGTAGTGTTATTCGTTACGTCGTTCACGACCACAGGAAACAAATCCAAAAACTCTTTGTATTTCTCTGCGCTGATTAGAAATTTACTGTTCCATGCAGTGCCTCGTTCAGACGAAATTCTAAAAATTCATGCATGTATCTAAATAATTATGAGTAGTAAACTCTTCATATTTATGAGTAAAAACAAAACGTTGGTATTTTTACGTTTTTATTCCAAACGTTTATTTAATTTTTACCTGTCTAAGCTAGCATTTGGTGTCTTCATTGAATTTTGATTTATATTTAACCAACGGATTTGTGTTGTTGCTATCTGCCGTGTGCATAATCTCCAAAATTGCATGTTATTTTTATTAAACAGCAAGACCATCACGAGTTGTAATAGGTCGAATGATACTGAATGGACACTTAAACACGACTGAGTGTTTACTTCATTTTAAACCGATTTGATACATATATCGCGATTAATTACTTTAATTAGTTATTGTATTCAACATAGTAACAGAAATACATAATTAAAAATGTTGCAGTAAATATGTTTATTGAAACGTGCACAGGTTTTTAACCTGAAATCTTCAAATATCTCGAAAAATAAGCACTCTTCAAAACAATGTCTCGTATCAAACTTTAATCATGCCGCCGTGAGGAAAATAAATTAGTTCTAAAATTAGCCCCCCCCCCTTCTCACTCTCCTTATAGGTGGGGTGGGGGTAACTTCGAAACCTCAAATGGGAACTGCTAAAAGTACGAAGGGTACGATTTGTCTGAAAATTTTTTTTCGATTCGTGATAGATTGCGCTGAAGGAGCTGAATCGAAGAAATTCAATTTTTTTCGATTTCTTCGACTAAGGACCTATGCATACGATTTTGTAATATGTTGGCAATAAAAAATCTCGCGTTTTATGTAAATACTCAAAATTCGTGGTCAACAAAGTTTATTCATATTGCAAAATTCGAATAACTAGGAAATTGGTTCCTGTAGAAATGACTGACGAATAAACTAATTTAGCGTAACCCAGGAACAACGATGTGGACGAAGTAGTTTTTTGTTCCTTTCGGGGTGCTTGATTAACGACAGTCCCTTGCCTTTCACGTATTAGGGTGCTTGATTTAAAGATGGATATTACTGAAGGCTACAATATAGAAAATTTTGGTATTTAAAATATGAGAGTTCCGGTAAACAGATGATTGATTATAGTGTATTTCAGAACTCCGTTCGCCTAAGCCAAAACATTAACAGATTTCAGGGTTTCTCAACTGTCGGTCGGTTGTGAGATGGTAGCAAATGATTCGTTTTGTTTCATTAATTATAAATTACATAGAAATAGGTTATGTACCTTTAAAAAATGCTATTTCAGTTCCTCTTTACATGTAAATGCACTGCTTCAACATTTTTAACGTCACTGCTCTAACCGCTAAGTGAATCGCTATATCATTCAACCAAGCTGAAAGTGCACAATAGTTTTCTTGTTTCAAATCATTTACCCTATACTAAAAGACAAGGACTCCCTTAGATTCAACTCTTACCTGCGAAAAGAAGGGAACAACTTGTTCTTTTACAAAAGAAGCGCGATAGAAGCCTACTTACTTGGTGATAATAATTGTTGATTTGAATTCGGAAATACACCATAAATGGCTTAGTATTAGCATTGTTTAAGTATATTATATACTTAAACAATGGTATTAGTCACAGAACTCTATTAGTGGACCTCTTATCTCTATTTTTGTCTATGGAATCACTTTCACCAACATGAAATGTCAAAATTACTGCTGCAATAAGTAATAAACTACCAAATACGAAAAAAACGTAAAATAAAAAAGATGTACCCATCTGTATCTGTGGCACATATTTTTTAACTAGATACAGATATTTTGTGGCTAAATTTGATTTTATCTATATACAGATAATAGATAACCAAATATTTATCTAGTTAATGCCCAACGCTGTATATTGGTAAAATCTCTACAATTCCTATACATGAAGCCGTACATTTTAAACGATAATAATGTCACCAATGTGATCAGCAGAAGTTAACTCTTGTTCGAAAATAATGCCAAGATCTTTTATGTGCGAGGGGCGATTTAGAGGAGCATCTTGAATTTCGTAAGAATAAAATACGTAGTTTTGTTTCCTGGTGAAGCTCTAATGCAATATTTTGTATAATTGAAGAAAAGACGGTTCTGAACACACCAGTTAATTGTACGATTAACATCGGCTTGAAGGAATTCACAGTCTTCTGCATCTGTTAAAATGATTTCTCTGTAAAGCTTCAGATCATCCGCAAATAATAATTTTTCTGAAGATATCACATCAACTATATCATTTATAAAGATTAAAAATAATAATAATCCTAACGGGTGTTGGGACAAATGGAGAAGAATAGTGATATCTTACGTCTGTTTCTCGAACAAATAAGTATGACTTAATAAGGGTAATTAGAGAATCGGTGAAACCATAATGACGTAATTTTTTTTTTCATAATTAAAATAATACGTCTTACACGAAAAGGTATAAAGTTAAACCTTGCAAGTAAAGGAGAATGGTCATAACCCATCTCTAGATACGTACTGTCTAACAGGAAGCACAAGAATTTCAAAAAGCTGAGCTAAATTGACTCAGTATGCTGAATGTGGACCTGATATATAGGATTCCATATCAGAGCACCATATTCAAGTCTTGCGCGCACCAAGGAGCAAAACAAAGTGCAAACAGTTTGTGTTTGAGTGAAGTCCCTACAGTTTCTATACAGAAAATCGTAAGTTCTAAAAACATTAGATAGCCTTTCATTAATATGCTCAATGAAATAGAATTTCGAATCAATAAAGTCATGCTGGTGAGGTGATAAAAAATCCTTAATCGAGTGATATAAATGTTCGTATATGATGGATTCAAAAACTTTAGCAAAGTTGCACATAAGAGATATGGGTCGATAATTTTTTATAACAGAGGTATTTCCCTTCTCGAAGAGAGGACATATCGATGCTACTTTCCAAATATCATAAAAATCAGCAGACTTTAAATTAAATAGACGGAAACAGGGCTCAACAAAAATGCTTGCACAGTCTCTTAGGAGGAAGCTTGGTATCCCGTCGTATCCTGTAGTTAGTGACTTTTTACAGTGTTACCGGTCCGGGTCAGCGGCAACATCGAGGAGGACACTTGGAGGTCGAGCCGTGAAAACGACCGGTCCGATTTATTTAGAAAAGGGCCCCCCGGAACCTCGGCAACGTCAGCGACGGCGGAGTTCTGCTGGATGCTTCTGCCTTGGTCTGCTTCTCGGTCCCGACTACTGCGAATGTTTTTTTATTTTTTCTATTTGTTCTCGGCACGGGGTACTGGGGAATTGCAATAAATTGCTTACCACCCTAAAACCCCTCCATCTTCTGCGCAGGTACCAGAAGTTTGTCTTCTTCACCTGGGTCCTGACTTTCTTCCTCGTCGACCTCGTAGTGGACAGCTTCTCGGACCAAGGGGTTCGGGTGTTCTTCAGTTTTCTTGAAGGTACGAAGAGCAATTTCGTGCAGAAGTTGCTTTAACGTCGGGATGTTGGCCTCCCGAAGAATCTAGTTGTTTTTGACGAACTAGGGGGCCTTAAAAGCTTGGCGGAGAATTTTTGTCTGGAGAACTTCCAGACGATGGAATTGGGTTTTGGAAGGCTCGTAGCTCCAGGCCTATGAGGCATAAGAAATGGTGGGGCGAATGATTGTTCGATAGAGAAAAAGTTTGTTTTTGATCGATATTGTCACAAGTTACGAAATCGATTTGCCCTCAAAAAGTAAGTTTGGCTGATGCCAGGTATTTCGCAAAGAAACTGCGCAATGCTTGGGCCAGCAGAAGGAACTTGGAGAGTGGCAAATCTAGGACAGGGAGTGACAGTTAGAGTTAGAGACTGTGACAGTGTGGGTCCCTTCAAGACTGCCAACGACAACTGCAGTGGCGGCTTGTCAGGTGAGGCATGTGAGGCAGGACCTCACCATACACAATCATAAAAATTATTTTTCTTCCATACTATTTTTTTGTATGTACGGGGTAATTTAAAATTAGCGCGACAATTGAACTTTCTATGCCAACCACAAAATAAAGGCGCAGCGTTATTCTAACCAATCATGTATTGTCATGCGTTTAGGCCGGCCTCACGGGTTGATTAAAATGTGGGACTAGGAGGCTCGAAGTTTTTACAACGCATAGTATTACCGCTACCGCTTACTATGGGAATGAAATGCTTTAGGACAGATAGTTGTGAGGCCGGCCGCAGCTCTTATCTGATTGGTTCCCCTTCTTAGGTCAGTCCACATCATAGATCAACTTGCATGTGCGTTTTGCATTTTGCAGTGTGCATAAATTTTAAATTTCAGTCGTTGTCGTTAACGAGTTCGGTACTTGGTTAACTAGTGGATTGTGGATACTCCGATTAATTTTATTTGTAATTAAATAATAATGACCATGGAAGTAGGCCCATCTGGTACTCAGGTAATCTCCACTATTCGAAATACAAGTGACATTGTTAAAGCAAGGCGAACGTCCATGTTCAGATCTAAGCTTAACATTAATTCAAAGAGAAAAACAAAAAAACAGGGCGTTGAGTCTCAACTGTGAATAAACTTTTCTGTTGGCCATATATTTTATTCTCGAATAGTGGAGAATTGGTTTGGTGGAAAACTGGATATGCAGATTTGAAAAATTTGTCGCGTCTCTTGGAAAAACATTCCAAAAGTAAAGCAAGTTGGTACTTCTCGGCCAACAGAATATTGCCAGTACTCTAGATTCTGCTCGCAAAATTGAAATATAAAATTTTAATGCCAAAGTTCGCGAAAATAGAGAAATTATTAAAAAGTTAATTGATGTTGTTATATTTTTATGCACACAAAAGCTTCCCTTTAGAGAACATCGCGGAAATTTTAAAGAATTAATTTCATCCACCTCCACGTCGGTTCTTACCGGACAGTTGATTATGTGTTGGATTTTTGTTAATATTTTTTAATGTTAAAATTTCCTGTGATCAAAAAACCCCGAATTCCTGATTCAATAAATTTTCATCTAGTATTGACGTATAAAACCAACTTACAATTCCAAATTTCGTAAGTAAGTCTCCAAGTGTGGGCAAAATGGAAGTGGAAATTTTTTGAATCGTGATTTGTAAAATGTTCAGGTATCACTTTCAACAAAGATATAAAAAAAATTATACGTATGTAACTATTTTTACGTCATAAGGTGTGGCCCGAGGTGTAACCCCTTTGCAATTACTGTATGTCCTAAATAGGTAATGTTGTTTTTTTTTAAATTACATTGTACAAGTATTTGATCTATTACTTACTATTTGCCAAGCTCTCGGGGTTGATTTCACCGTAAAAGTTAGACGGTTTACCTTGTAAGTACCCCTGTGCGTCGAAATTGCTTGTAACATTGCACTATTTCCATCTACTTTCAT